AAGTCCAGCCCTGTCAGAGCAGCAAACTGCAGGAAAGCTCTCTGAGCATCGACCGGAACCCAGGCCTTTGGCGGCGGAGTACGCCACGCCGGAGAAGGCGTAGCGGTCGCACACGATCGTCGTTCCCGAACGAAGGTCCTGTCAGGAGGGGGCTCTGAGGGCAGAACACAACACACATCGCTACCCGCCTCAACGATGGCCTTGGCCATCTCCCAGCGGTTTGCCTGGCACTCCACATGACCAAAGGCAGCAGGCCCAACAGGCAAACTGCTGCCGGCGCGACGCTGAAGAGGCGGTGCACGGCCTCATCCGACAGCTCCAGCTGCCTGGCCAATCGCAAAACAACACGCCTGCGCCTCTCGATACACGCTGCCTCCCGCATGCGTGGGCCTCCGAAGGTAGAGGTCGATGGCGTTGCCGATGGGTGTCTTGCGGTTCGGGAAGCACATCCACTTCACCGGTCCTGCCTGGCTCGCAACGGCAAATCTACCCACAGGTTTGCGCCAGTGTCCAGACAAAAAAATGCTTCAAGCCTTCTCCAGGTGGGAGGCGATCTTCTTGCTCTGCGTGGACTTGCCACTCCGGTCCAGACCTGGCTGGGGCGACAGGGCAGAAGGGATCCGCTTTGGCCACCAAAAGACATTGGTTCTGCCTTCAAAGACCAGGAACAGGCCGCGGGACTCTCCGACGCCCCACGCCGGGCGGTCCTCTCAAACCACGTGGCAAACCACAAACCCCAAAACATCCTAAGAGTCCTAACGCCCGAAAAGTTGAACTCCAGACAAACCCCACTCCCAACCCCAAACCCCCCTAACACAGCAAACCCAAAAGGATCCTCCCACTCGGCCTGGAGCCCCGCATCCAGCATTCCCAGCGCCTTCTTTGCAGACTCAGACTCCTCCTGGCTGGCTCTGCACGGCGGCTCAAGGTTTGGGGTTTTAGGGTTTCGGGTTGGGGTTTCGGGTTTAGGGTTTAGTGCTGACGGTTCAGAGGGTTTCAAGTGCGTTGGGTTTGGGGTGGGCTTTCGCTTAGGGATGGGAGGTTGAAGGTTCTTGTCCCGGCATCCTGGCTTCGTTGGCCTGGGTGGGTTTGGGGTGAGTTTTCGCTTAGGGATTGGAGGTTGAAGGTTTTTGTCCCGGCATCATGGCTTCATTGGCCTGGGTGTTGTGGTTTTGCAGTCTGCTCCAGTCATCTGCAGGTCCATACCCACCTTCCTTGGGATGGTCCTGAACCCTAAACCCTAAACCCCAAATACCGGGCAACTATTTCTAGCATATCATATCCATTTAAATCGGAAGAACCCCCATTCTTGCACCCGCCCTTGTTCCGAGCTCTGGCCACAGCCCCAAACAAACCCTGATTTAGGGTTTAGGGTTTAGAGTTTATAGCTTCAGGATTCAGGACTCAAGCCCTTCCGTAGAGGAATGGAGTTCAGGTCTCGCGCAGCAATTAGGATCGGCCTGAGACTTCATGGGCGTTTCGGGCTTCGGGGTTTCAGAGTGCCCGCTGGTTATTTTGGGGGGTCTCCCTAAATTGCGAGCCGGGAGCACCTGGCTCAAGGATGCCGCCTTGCTTTGTCGGAAGGCTGCCTCAACCTGTGCTGGGATGCCATCAAGGCGGCAAGGCTCCTAATGCACAAACAAGCTGAATAATATTGACTCTTCCTTCTGTGATTTCACATGTCAAAAAATGGTTGCCAGTACAGTGGCAATCCGCGAGATGGCTATCCCACTGATACGGTCCTGGCTTTGGCACTCAAAACGTGTGCTCAAAAATCGAGGTTGCACATGTCCTACCACAAAAAATCGTCAAGCCCGTTAACCGACTTCTCACCCCTCGGTCTGGAATCTGAGAAGTGCACCTGCTGCAACCTTGGCAAAGAGAAAGCTCTGTCTGGTAGATCAGAGGGAGGGGAGGGTCGTTTGGCATGCTTACAGTTCATGTTTTTGTAAGGACTCAAGACAACAATGGTGACGGCTGACTTGGGGGGGCTACGAATACCGAGAGCTCAATACCCCTGAAGAAGAATAAGCCTTCAAAGATAATCGTAATCATAGTCATGACAAGAAAGACCAGCATACTTAGAACAAGAACCGCAAGAACTGTGAAAGTAACAGAAAACACCATGATCGGTACTGCTACTACGATGACAGAACGCTCTGTAAGATGGCTTCTAAGATATACGGCTGGCATGGAAAGGCTTTGGACTCTCTGCGAACACCAGGGGCCCCTACAGAGCTCCCGGGCCCCAGCTGGGTGCCGAGGCTGCCGCGACCTGCAGGAAAACACTCGAAGAGTCGGGCTTCTAGATGTTGGGGGGGTCTAGGGTCGAGTTAGGGTAGGGGGTTGAAGATTTTGAGGGCTTAGCGTTGAGGTTCCGCGTATTGGGGTTTAGGGTTTCGGTTTTGGATTTTAGCATTTAGGGTTCGGGGATTAGGATAAAAGCATCGGGCTGCGAACGTCACCCGAGAAGAGGTGGCTGAGGAGGTCTTGGTGTATGCAGAAGCTGCCTATCACCACAGACACCTTTTCCGGATGGGAGTCCCCTCCATTTTCTGAAACTCCCATGCAGACCCCTGTCTTCCCTCCCGAAAACCTAAACCCCTAAACCCTGAACTCCAAACCCCTAAACCCTGAACTCCAAACCCCTCCCTCGGAAGTGGCAGAAGCATGAAGCTACGGGCGCGCCTGCGGACACACCGCTTGGAGGCAGCCGAGCAGGGCGGTGGAAAGAGACTTCCCCATGTTTGCAGAAGTTGAGAATCAGAATACGGTTTTGGCCACATGACCTGAGAAAAGACTTTAGTTCTTCTCGGGAGTCTAAGAGGACTGGGATTCGGAGTTGGGGGCTTGCTGCTTGGCTCAGTCGGCTTAGTCTTCAGATCTACGCTCCGGAGCCAAGAGTTGGCTGAAGGAGTCTTCGGAACGGGCTTCAAGCCAAGAGGCCGAGGGTCCAAGAGCTACTGTAACGAGGTTTCAGGGCATGGGAGTTCAGCCATGTCCTCGATGAATGACAAGAGGCATGAGGCAAGGCGCACGGGGAGGCCTAAAGCGGCTTAGCAAGCAGTTTCCCCCGGACGCTTGCAGTCTTCGAGGCCACTTGAAAAGAGGCCTCCACCCCTTGACACAGGTCACCCAGCGAATAGAAGGGCCCTAAAAAATTCGTGTGGTTCTGGGCTGAGCCTACAAAGCATCTTGGTCGCAAGCTCTTCGGGCCCTCTATTCTCCACAGACAGGGGATCCAGAGTCCTATCTTTGGACTCAGTGATCTCCATGTCCTAAAGTGAATTAACTTTCTGAACAAGAATCATTGGAGTTAGGATCTAAGGAGTGCCGGCTTGCAGACAGCTTCTGGCTCTCTGACTCTTCGCCTCTTCCTTTCCGTAGCTGAAAGCTTCGGCACGCGATGGGAAAGGCTAAAGTAGTCGACGGGCTCAGCTCACCCAAAGGCGCTTGATCGGGCGCTGGCGGTTCTCCTGGGAAACATCGCGGAACATGCAGTCTTGGCAGGCTCTTTGCTGTTTGGGGAGATGTAAGACGAGGACTGCATTGGGTGGAACTACGAGCCCCCATTCAACACGGTTCCGTCCGTCCTGATCCTCCAGTCTGATGGGCTCGACTGCATTCCGGATTTCCGCGTGGATCTCCTGCCAACGGCTCGAATGGCGAGTCTCGCGTTCGACCTGCAACTCTCCAGAGCTTGGAAGTCGGGCCTCGATGTCCCGTGCTCCATCGACATCACGCCAATTGACGCTGTCGCGGAGGCGCCGGTCTTTGAACTGCGTGCGTACTCTGGCCTCCCCGGATTGTCATGAAATGTACAAGCAAAGAAGATGGAGTGCACTCTCTGCTTGACCCACCTGCATCTGCGCGTTCTCGTAGCGCTCGTCCCCGAAGTTCGAGCGCGAGGCGCCCACCTGCCGCGCTTTCGGCGCGGCCGCGTCGCACGGAACGTCGCAGTCTGCCTTCTCGTCGATGTGCAGGAAGAAGATGCCATCCGGGCACGGCAGCCCGCGATCCGGGGACTGGCACCACGTGAAGTCCAGCCCTGTCAGAGCAGCAAAGAGCAGGAAAGCGCAGGAAAGCTCTCTGAGCATCGACCGGAACCCAGGCCTTTGGCGGCGGAGTACGCCACGCCGGAGAAGGCATAGCGGTCGCACACGATCGTCGTTCCCGAGCGAAGGTCCTGATAGGAGGGGGTTCTGAGGGCAGCACACAACACAGATCGGCTCTTTCCATGCAGGAACTACCCGCCTCAACGATGGCCTGGGCCATCTCCCAGCGGTTGGCCTGGCACTCCACATGACCAAAAGCAGCAGGCCCAACAAGGCAAACTGCTGCCGGCGCGACGCTGAAGAGGCGGTGCACGGCCTCATCCGACAGCTCCAGCTGCCTGGCGAATCGCAGAACGCGCCTGCGCCTCTCGATCGCCCGCATGTGTGGGCCTCCGAAGGTAGAGGTCGATGGCGTTGCCGATGGGTGTCTTGCGGTTCGGGAAGCACATCCACTTCACCGGTCCTGCCTGGCTCGCAACATCTGGCCAATCTACCCACAGGTTTGCGCCAGTGCCCAAAGAACAATGCCCCAAGCCTTCTCCAGGTGGGAGGCGATCTTCTTGCTCTGCGTGGACTTGCCGCTCCGGTCCAGACCTGGCTTTCGGGATCCAAGCGGGCCCAAACCCGGCCGAGCACTCGGTCCCGACATCCCCGTCTGCCCACCGGTGCCTTCGAAAACCAGGAAGAGGCCGCGGGAAGCCCCGGCGGCCCACACGGGGCGTTCCTGACACAAATCGGATGCAGTCCCGGCTTGCCTTAAAAAAAGAGGACAGCCGAACTTAAAACGGTGTAGAGCCTGTGCAGGGATGTCCAGGGCCCGCAGCGCACTCTCAATGTTCGTGATCTCCGCCTGGCACTCCGGAGTGCAGAGTGCATGCGATCTTGCTGACTGGGCCTAAGCTCGCCGGAGGTGCCGGATCTAGGCTGCCTTGTCTGCTGCTGCGAAGCGCAGCAACCACCTGGTGGAACGCCGAGTTCCAAGATAACTTTGCTAGCAAAGCGAATCTGAGACCCTTGCAGATTGAACCAAGTTCGCATTGCTGCTGCAAACAGTCTTCGTAAGACCTCTGCGGCACCATCCACTGCATGCACAAAGAGCTAGCAACATCTCCCACTGCAATAAGGTCGCCTAAGTCGACGACCTGCCAGTCGCCAAGCAACAACTACAGCTGCAAGCTCGTTGTATTCTGGTGCTGCTTGGAAAGAAGCCTTAAAGAGAACCTAACGGATCCCTTTCTCGCGGCTCCTGGAGAGCTCCCGAGGCTGGGACAGCTCTTCTGGAACTCTGCCAGGATCGTTTCCTACCGGAAGTGGCTCTCGGTGCTTCACGGGATTGGGATCATCGTCTCACCATCACCGTAACCATCACCATCATCAGCCACAACGACGACGACCACAACCACATTCACATCCACATCCACAACCACAACCACAACCACAACCACCACGACGACGACGACGACGGCGACGACACCATCATGATCATCATCAGCAGCAGCATAATCATCATCATCATCATGATCATCATCATCATCGTAGTCGGCGTCATCATCATCCTCGTCGTCATCAGCAGCAGCAACAGAAGCGTCAGGGTCAGGGTCAGCGTCAGCGTCAGCATCCTCATGCTGTCGCCATCAAGTATCGTCATCCGGCGCCAGCACCAGCACCAGCACCATCGTCACCATCGTCAACAGCCCAAGCCTCAACAGCAGCGGTAGCAGCAGCAGCAGCAGCAGCAGGAGAGCAGCAACAGCACCACCACCACCACCACCACCACCACCATCACCGCCATCACCGCCACCAGCAGCGCCACCACCACCACCACCCGCATCGCCGCTGCCCCACAGTTACTGTTGCCGCCAATATCATGATAGCACTCATCACCATCAACTTGCAAAGCTGACCAGGGGTAGTGCTGCTGAGTCCAGGTAGGAATCTTAATGCTGTGGAGAGCGGCCCAGGTCCAGGAAGCCCTCGGCCCATAACCAGTATCGGAACCTGCTTATCACCAAGATGACTTCTCAACGCCTTCAGGGAAGTAACCCTCCCCGGCACCATCCGTTTCCCACAGTCAAAACCGCCACCGCTTGAGGCCCTGCCTCGCTGGGAACTGGAGTTGTCTCTGAGACGTCAGCCATTGGCCTCTGACTTCACTGGGGCTGGGACTTGGGAACCACAGGACACTGGAGGCTTGAGGACTTGGGTCTCACGTTTGCTTTGGGCGTTTCCTTTTCCGCGCTCCAGAGCTTCGGGCTCTTAGGATTTCGGGCCTGCTGACATTTGGAGGGGGGCGGGCTTCCGTGGAACCGTGGAGATTTTCGGAGGGAGAAGGATCCGCCCTGGGACACGAAAACCCCATTCTTGGCTGCCTTAAGAACCCATCCAGCGCAACATGCGGACCAACGTCCAGCTAACCCCGGAACCAAAACACAAAATGGAACACTCTTAGTGCGATCAACCACCCTTCCAACGCGCCCGTGGCGTGGTCACTCTTCGCTACTGAACACGTGTGCCCCAAGGGACGCAACAATCAAATTCGACTAATCGACATTCATGCGACGTAGTTCAGGTCAGAAACGATCCAGAAGACGAGGTTGCAACACAAGCCAGCATCTTGCCGAAAACATGCGATGCAACGGCATCTATGCAGTCCTGTTGCGGACGAGCCATAAGTACCCAGCAGGGAAGTCGGGCAGCGCCATCAGATCCGTGCGACCGTCCCTGGACGACCGACTTCGCAGTCCTCATGATCTGTTTCCACTTTCCACGAGCAGCCTCGCAGCCCGACAATGACGACCTTCAACCAAACAGCACAGCTCCGCGGGCCATGACAAGTCACATCATAAACGTGTAGTTCTGGAGCCTCAAGTGCCAAACACGAGCCAACAGATCTCGTCACGCATCTTCCATATGATGCAGGCTCCACACTCCAAGCATTGCTGATGCGTGTCGACACCGCTTTCGCGGCCGAAGCATGCTGTGCAGTTGGGGGGGGGGTGCAGTGCTTTTTGACTGGAATTCGCCCCCCCGGCAAAGCCCCGACACCTCCAAATCCCAACACGAAACCCCAGTGACCCACTAGCGAAGCACGATATGCGTGCAGCAAGGCCTCTTTGGAATCTCCTCGCCGAGGACACCGGCCTCACAGGCCACTTGGTATGTAGGGTTTCTAAGGGGGTTTAGCGTCTAGAGGCCTTGAAGATTCTTCTGGCTGGGGTTTTGGTTTTGAGGGTTTAAGGTTTGAGAGTCCGGATTTAAGGTGTATCAAAGGGTTACGGGTTTGCGGGTCGAGCTTGGAGTTTAGGAGTTTAGGGTCGGACACCCAGGACGTGGGCGCTTCACGGATGCAAGCCGTGGGCTTCGGAGTTGAGCTCAAAACTCGGGGAGGGGGACTGGGACGAGAGCCAGGGACCCTGGAGAGCTACGCAAATCCAACATGTCATGCTTGTGCATAGACAGAGAGTAGCCGGCAGGGAGCAATACGAAACAATGCAATGCCCAAACAGTTCAAAAATGCAGATGCGAGTAGCTCACTCTGCTGGGATCCTGCATGCACTTTTGCACATTCACATACAGTAACTTGTTGGGATGCTGGGTAGCTTCCTCTGGTTCTACACAGTTGCTAATCAAGCGAACCACCGGCAAAGAACCAACAAACTCAAGAACCGCATGTCTGGTGAAAGTTGTTGAAGCATCTGGTCTGCAGGGTTTGAAGTGCTTCTGCCAAATGCACTGCTCTCTTGCCACAATGCAAAAACTTTCCAGATCAACCACGATGCGAGCAACTGCCATCAAAACCTTGTGTGGCCTTTTTGAAACCCCGCATCATCACCATCATTGGCCCTCGCTTCTCCTTTAAACTCCGCTTGTTTGCATTAAGCTGAATCCTCGGGCGGGTGCACAAACTGGGGCCGCCCTGCCCCTCCATACCTTGGGGATTGGCCCTCAAGAGTGACTCACCCGCCGCGGGTGACCCCCCCCACACCGCTGATGGAAGCTGACGCTTAAGCTGGCCTTCGTAATTAGACAGCAAAAACAACAGCAACAAACCTGCAAAAGGCCTCCGCCCCCTCGACGAAGCGCTGTACTGTTGCTCGCTGCTCCTCAAGAGCTGTTGCCTGGCCGACCCCGGAAGCAAAAAGGATCTAAAAGAGAAAGAGCAAGACAAATCACAGCAGCATTGAAAGACGCATGCTGAGAGAGGAAAGGCAAACTGATCATTTTTCGTCGAAGATGGTCAAGATCATCATGGAATACGTACTCCCAACACGATGCATCTTCCAGGGCAGTGGAACGGTCTCCTCGTAGACTACAGTGCAGTCTGGTATAGCGTAACGTAACGGACCAAACGATACCATAGACTGCGGTACTCTCATGGCAGCAACAAACCACCAAACTTCAACACGCACTGCCTGGCCCCTTCGGAACTCGGAGTCCCGAAACTCCTCCACCGGACACCCAAACCCATATCCAAACACCCTTAACATCCAAAGACCAAAGATCTTCCGCCCTAAAGCCCAAAGACCCAAACCCCACAGTAAATTCCAAACCCTGACCCCAAACCAAAACCCCAAAATAGCCCTAAGCTCCGCAACCTAAACCCTCCCTTGACCTGAAAGGTTAAAACAAATAACCTGAAAGCCCAAAACCTAAAAACACCTGACCATCCGCCCTTAAAGCCTAAAGCCTTGGAACCTAACCGTCACTCCCCCAACCCTAACCTCCCTGAACCCGAAACCCTAAACCCTAACCGAACCCCAAACCTGACCTTACACCCAGCCCCCTTAAATCCCAACTCCAACCTCCTTCAAGCCTAAGCCCCTCTTCAAACCTGAAACCCTAAACGCCCTCATTCCGAAACCCCC